GCCGTCTCTCTCTCTCTCTCTGCAACTGTGCCATCAACTCACCCTGCCCTGTCCATGGCCCTTCTTTCTTCCACTCACTCACTGACTCAACCCTCAGATCATCAACTTGTGCTCTTCACCATTACATTTTGGGCCCCTGCAAAGTGTTTGATCAAATGTCTAAAAGAAGCCTTTTTCTCCTTTCTTTTCTTTTTTGCTTTTTCCTACGCAGATTAACTCTAACTCCGACAACCACCCTCCCTTCCTTTATTGGTTCTCTCAATTCTCACACTTTTGTTCGGATTGAAAAAAAAATTGACTTTACAAAAATTTATAATAGACAAAAGATCGGTGAATATTAATATGATATAAAAATCAAAAAATTCAAAGGAACATTCGATAAAAAAAAATAGAATCCGACTAAGATCGATAAGTCAGAAAAAGCAATATCCCAATTGAGTTGTTGAAGTAGAAAGAAGAACGAAGGTTTGATTAGCGAGGAATAAGATGGCTAAGGAAACAGGCTTCCGTGAGTCGAGGGAATCAAGCCGATAAAAAAGCGGGTCGAGCCGAATGAATCCGGACCCGGTAGACCCGAGCTGTGGCCTACCAGTCCCTAATTTCACGTGATCCCGTTCTGCGTGCTGACTAAGTCGGGGAAATCCCATGGCCCACACTCAAAAATATTTGGTGGGGACCACCTTTTAACCTCTGCATCGACCGGCACATTCACGTCTCAATTATCTCCCACGTGTCGATAGCGATATTACTCCCTTTTTTTTCTTTTTTTATTTTTCCCTCTTCTTAAATTCGTAAAATTAATCCATAAATTTCTCTCTTTTTTCCTTTTTACCTGGTACGGTCCCTCGTGGGTCAATTTTCGGTGAGAGAGACCCGTCTTAGCCTAAAAATTGAAAGAGCCATCATTGAGGATGGGATCCTCTGCGGAGCGCAGTACGGAAATATGGTGTGCTGTGGTCCATCCTTCTGTAATCTGAGACCTCTCCCTTTATTTTTGCTAATCAAAGCGTTTTATTTTTATTTCAAAAAATTAATTAATCAAAACAACCATGATTGAACTTTTCACCAAATCACACCTCTCGATATCATAAATTATGTGACTCAAATCAATAATTAATAAATTTTTATTATCTTTAATCATTGTCTACTTTACCTAATAGCACATCTTAATTATATGGCTGCTTTTTTCTGCCCTATTTTCGCCTTTTCTTTCCAAATATTTCAACTCATTATTCTATCCACTGCTACTGTCGCACATTATTTCAGATATTTAAGATTACTAAACCTTTTAAAATATGGTCCAACAAACTCTATTCAAATATTTAAATGTGGAGTTTTTAAATTGAGTTTGGTTATAATAAACTAGATTTAAATAAATTTAGCTTAGGTTGAGTTAAATTAATTCAAGTTGCTCGTTCAGAAATTTCAATTAAATGAAATCTATTTTTTAATAAAAATTTGCTTAGGCACACATCTCTTTGACTTTTGTCATATATTATCAATAACAATTTTAATTTACCTGGCCTTCAACAGTTTTTAGAAAAAACAATTGGATCAACTCAATCATTAGAGTGTTATTATTGTTTTAAGTAAAATATAAATAACCACTTTAACTCAATATATTAAAAAACGTAAATAAATTCTTAAAACACTATTATTACCACAATTTATTTAAACAAAATGTTTTGGAACAACAATTAGATTATGTTTTCCTTGAGAGAAAATGTTTGAACAACAAAATCTAAACATTTATAGAGATATTTACACAAATAAAATAAAAATAAATTCTTAAAACACTATTATTACCACAATTTATTTAAATAAAATGTCGATTAGATGTTTGTGAATAAATTTCAGCTAGAAACATCTATAATTTCTTTATAGTCAATGATCACGTCCAAACTTCAAAGATTGTTTTACGACAATTTACTCTCTATTTTCAACCCTCTAAACAATGTAATTCACGTGCCTAATTATATTATATTAGATAATTGTAATTGATTTTGAGAGTTTTTAGGAATGATTTTGATACGTAAACTCAATTTTACAAAAACCAAAATTATTTATATCTTAAAATAGACATATTTATGTGATTCTTAAGTAATTTTGGAAAAAAAAAAGAACTTATTTGTGGTCAATCATTGGGAGGTGATCATTATATAAATTAAAAGAAAAGTTAATTGTAGAAAATTAATTATTTAAATACTTAATATTTTAAATTAAATTATTTTTCATTTCACTGTATTTTCACCTTAAATTTCGATAAATTTTATTTTTTCCTTTCTAAAATTTGTATCTATCCGACTTTAACTTTAATTTGGTTTGTTCTGTCTTTTTTCTGTATAAGATTTTTTAATTTCTCTCTAAATTTTTAGTCCCTACCCCTTTCTAAGATTATTTCTCTCTCATATATTTTTCTCTCTAATTGTTTTCTATCTTCTAGATTTTTTTTTCCAAATTCTCTCTTTAAATTTTAAACATCAATCGTTTAAAATAACTTGTAATTATATGGCCAAAATAACATACAAACAAAAGAGAGGTATGTAAATTTATTCTTCATATCCGTCTGTTAGGGTTTTGCAAATTGCAATTCGCAGTCAAGTTCTGGGTCAGGGCCTTAGGGCTTCATAGAAAATTTCGGCCTGTTAGCAGGTCTCATCAATCCCTATGAACAGAAGGGACGGGACAGCTTCTGGATCAATTAGTCCAACTTCAATGTTCAAACCAACCACGAGGGAGATCGGCAATTCCAAAATCGTATGCTTGGTCAAAATTTTGATTGCGGACCCTGTTTCTCAAAATGTGTATATATATTGAACAAATCACTTTCCGATCGCGCGCGCTCTCTCTCTCTCTCTCTGTTTTATTGCGTCAACAATAGAACATCACATTTTTCACTCTCTCTTTCAGTGCAGGCAGAGGCCGGACGCAGGTCCCATTTGTGGTGCGAGTGCAGCACCTTTTGGCGTTCTCCTGGGCGTCGGGTTCCACATAGAATCGAGCTCTGTACGCTGCTAAATGAGCGTAGTATGCTGGAGGAACTGCACCACGCCATAAATGTCACTGTAAGTACTGATTATTCAATGCCCTTTGATTTTGATGTCTTTGAATTCAAGTAAAGTAGCCAAGAGAGAGGGGAATGGTAATTTTCAAAACGAAGGAACGGACTAGAAACAGAAAGCAAGATATGTTTGAAGTAACTTTGGGGTTAAATGCTCTTTTGGTACTGTATTTAGCATTCTAGCTTAATAATGGAAAATCTACCCTAGATTGAAACACCATTTGGCTAGGATATTGTGGCTTGAAACTGGAAATATTGGAACAAAATAGGTAATGTTATGAAATTACCTACTGACACTGATCTTGTGCACCGAGCATACCTGTAGGAAAGTCATGTCTTAAAGTACTGTAGAAGGAGAAAGAGCTATGTTGGGAAATTTTGTAAATATGGTTTCATGATCCTTACGTGTAGCAGAGGTTATTAGTCAGAGATTGAATATCATCTGCACTGAAGTTGTTTTCATCCCAAAGAACATGATAATGTGCAGGACGACTCGTTCCCTGAATGAATGCAAACCCAATGTAAATATCTCCTTAGTGCTTCGAGTTTTCACCATCAATATCTCATCTCTGTTCATATTTTGAGTGTTATGTTTTACTCGTTATGATTATTCTCTACGCCATACCTGGATCCCTGCATGACTGCATAGATAAAAGTCGAACTCGGTCGGATGACATATCTTTGAATCCACGACAGTACCTACAAGTTAAGACAAATGTTTAAAATTCTGAACGGTAAAGTTCAGAGAAGTCCCCTTCTCTTAGTCAAAATCACATAGCGTTCTGCTATATCTTGCTTGTAAATGTGTTACCTGGTAAAATATTACCGCTCTTGTCAGTGCTGCTTCTATCATTGTGATTGGATGCAAAAAGTCTGGTATGATGTCGCTTTTGGACAACGATAAAAGTTACTGGAGGTTGGTAACTGGGTTCTAGTGAAGCACAAGCCTAAATATTTGACAAAATTTAAATCAAAAGATGTCCACCTTGATTTCTTAGAACAACAGCAAGTGATCATAAGTTTATAACAGAGTCACAGACCTTGCGTACCGCATCAAGTTCATGCAGTAAAACCTGGTAGAACTGACCCTCACTGACACCATCCCTACAAGCATAAAATGATACAACTCAAATCATAATATATTATTAGCTGGTCCACACCACATACTCTGGTTTTACCCCTGATAATCAAAACAATTATCCAAGTGAAGTCTCTCATGTGATTGTTTTAACCCCTACATTACCTGTAGAATATTATCCTCAATGGTTTTTGTCCTGTGGCCTTCTTAAATGAAAGCAAGAGCTCCCTGAAAATGAATGGACTTTGTTAACAATAGGCAGCTAGGAGTATGTTGTTTTATGTTCGTCCAATGGAGACTCTTATTAAAGTCGACTATGCACCTTATCATGCCACCGGCAACCATGCCCCGGTGAGGATCTTTCCACGTTTTGAACAAATCTTGAATCAGTTCTTCTCGGTGAGGTTGAGCACATACTAATCCGGCATATTTTGTAACTTCTGGCCAATCTTGGGAGGCCACAACCTGTATGACATATCAAAATGGCTCAATATTACAACACATTAAGGAATTCGAGTATTAAGATTTTAGACAAGCTTACGGCAGCTATTGATGGAAGAGAATCCTCCCCTGATTCTGGATGGGTAACGTCAGCTCCAAAGATTATTGTTGGTATGTCACTGACTAGTGGAATTCTTGACCGCAAAGCATCTAAAAGAACAGTGTTTCTTCCCCCCATCTTTGTAGAACAGAAAATTAAATCCACTATTAGATAAGCTTGCTAGTTTTTTAAGGTAGAGTTGTGAGAGAAAGATAAACTAGTGAGTACCTTGACGTTGATCTTAAGTGACACATTTGCTAAATACTGTCTGCTCTTCTTGAAGACATGCTTTGTTAGACAACACTGGGAGATCAATCCCAACTCTGTTTCGCAGATCCTTTTAAGATCACCTGAATGCAAAGTTTACTTCACTTGGATAAAATGAAAGGTTATGTTTTCATTATTAGAAATGTTGAAATTTTTTTTAATTTTAGCTCCTTGAAGTTGAAGCCATTCAAGTGAAGTTGGGATGCTTTAGATGTTCATCAAAACCTAATCTTCTTACATACTTGGAGATCATACAAGTTTAATTTCAACAGAAGTGGTCTAAAATGCGGCAAATGCTGACTTGAAGTCGCTCATAGATTTTGGACAAGGATTAGATAATCTCAATTCTTTCATCGTTAAAAGTCCTTTTAACAATTCCATATCAATATATCACACGAATGAAAACACATACCATATAAAGAGCCATTGCTGTCGGGAAGAATAGCTATAAGTAACTCTAACTCTTTCCCTTCATGTTTGTTATAAACTGAACTATATACAAATTTTAAGGCCTTCTTCACTTGATCTGGTCTTGCTGAGTATATAGGAACCGCAGGATCTGGGTTAAATTCCTGATGGGAAAGAACAACAAAATTAGATCTCATGCAGGATAACAAGGCTGTCAATTCTTAATCATTGAACCGTAATCAAATACAGGCAACCGTTTACCATGCCAGAAATTTGGCACATCTGGACCAGCTGTTGACAGAAACCACGAGCAATGCTCTCTTGGACGTTGCGCGAGAAATTGATACAAGCCCAGTATCTTACAACACTTCCGTTTATTACTTTCTGCAATGGAGCAAGAAGGTAAGTTTCCTTCTATGATATACATAAAAACACATCAAATATTAAATAGTGACCAACCTTGTTCATCATATTCCACTGACCAACTTGTGGAAGATGTTCCTTTTCTTTTCCCGCGTCGTTAAATTTTAGCTAGAGGTAAAAGATGGAACATGAGAAATATGTTAAAACATGAGGCGGAATAATCACGTGCTATACATAAATTTACTTCTAAAATACCCATGGAGATGGAAGAACTCGTGCTTCAACTGATGTAAGCTTGTTGTCAATGCTGATTCCGAACTCTTTTGCATACGGATCTTCCTCATATGCATTCTGATTAACAGTCTGAAAAGCAGCAAATAGCTTTGAGATGGACAACCAGTTACAATTTGATCTCCTGTTGTTTTATCTTTTTCTTTCTTTTTGACAATCTACACAATTACATGTCTTCTTAATGAACTAAGAAGTTCACATATCTATCAATTTGCATGGTCCAAAACATTGATAATTAGCAAATTGGAAAACAAATTATGGTTTGGACCTGTAAAATGTCTATTTCTTGATCTGAGGGTCTTTGACAAGAAACTTTCAACAAGGAAGTTATTTGCTTTTCGTTTAGTCCTTTGGTGTATCTCTGTCCTTTAAGTATCTTACATGCCTGGGGAAAAACATCACGTAAATTCTCTGTAGGCGACAAACTCAAATGTCAAAGGTAATTGCAGGGTAGTTGGTAGAACTGACCTCCATGGGTAGATAATTCACCTTCTTCTGGTTTCCTACTTGAAGGCAAGGCAAATGTGTATACTGAATGGTATATCCATACTTCTCTTGGAAGTACTCAACTACAGATTTCATGTTCATCTGCTCATCAAGAGGGAAACTGTAGCAAAACAACTCAGTGGAAACAATATTAAAGAGCAAAAGACAATTAGAAATGCAGAATAAAGAGGAATGAGGCCAATATTTTATATACATTAGCTCTCTTGTAGGCTGTGATGTCAGTCCTGAAATTCGATATTTCCTTCTTACATTTCCTCGGTGTGTAACTTCAACTTTTACACCCCTTAGTACTTTTTTAACCTTGCAAAAAGGCACCATTACTTTGTTCAGTGCAAAATCTTTCAAACTCTGATGATATTATGATCTGAATTTCATGCTTGAGAAGCTTAAAATATCCAGAGCACATGATACCTTGATACGATCAGCATCGGACAATGGTCTAGTATACACATCTTTCTTCAGAATTTGAGCAACAAAATCAATGACAGGGATTGCTTCAAAGAATGCAGTGGATGACATGTCTGAGATACGAGATGCAATTCCGAAAAGACAACCGAAAGAGAAGTCAATTCAGGCTGAAAAACACAGCCAATGAAGAAGCATAGGAAAAGAAAACTCTAAATGGAGTGAAGTTCTATGCCCACCAATATTTAGTGACAATCCCATTTGAGTAGGTCGGATGCTTTGATAGAAACCACGCCATGCTTGCAAACCACCCCCAACATGCTGAGGTTTCTTAATGCAGGGAGAGTAAAAGAATCGCCCAACTGATATATATCTATAATTCCAGATTGAAATTTACCAAAGAATTGAAAACTATAAAGCAGCCAGAACAGGAAACCAACAAACAAGAACCAAAAAAAAGGGCCATTAGATTCCAACCTTTGAGCATGAAGCTCCCTCAAGACTATGTCAATAATGGCCAAAGCATCTTGAGGGTTATTAACTTGTTTGCCAGCAAGTAATTCTCGTAACTGGTGCATACTAGCCAAACTTACGAACTTTATCTGCACTTTAAATTCTCGTTCCCTGATACGATTACCCCAGATTGAGTCAAAGTTTTCCCACAAAGAAAAAGCAAAAATATGTGAAGAAAAGAAGAAAATTTGCCTGGGATTGGTTGTCCCCTCTTCCTCATGAGCCAAAATGACAGTGAACTCTTTTGATGTGAAAGGCAGCAATCCGGCTGTGTACAGGTTTCTTCCTCCATCATACACTGGCAGTCTCATCCCCAGTTCTGTGCTTCTATAATGTTTGACCAACTCAGTCAATATATTCTTCTTCATTTTTCGAGAAGTAACTTCTGGGGTTATCATAACCTGCAAGCTCAACAAATACACACAATTCATATTCATATTGCTTCATTTTGGAGAAATCTTCTAATTAATATTATAAAAGTGATTCCAACTTACAGTGTAGTGACTTATGTCTGATTCAGGTATTTTTGCCAGGAAGTGATTGGCTTTAACCAAGCATTTAGTCCCCAGCTGGCCAAAGCCTGGCCTGCTGGGAAACATTAAGCTTTTGCTGGAAGATGTGGAAGAGGGAAACTCCAGATTTGGATCAAGCTCCTCTTGCTTGAGTCCTTCCATGGCAGATCCTTTTGCTCTCCTCTTTCCTTTTCTTCTCCATAAACTAGTCTTTTCAGCATCCTTTAATCCATGTAGGGATTTCAACACCATTTGAGAAGATGGTATTACATGTTTCTCTTCAGGCTCCATTTGCATGTAGGGCATTTTTTTTTGTTTACTTTTCTCTGTCACACAGAGACCTATCGCTCAGCACAACACTTAACTAACTCAAAGCTGACAAAGGAAAACATGGCAAAGATTTATGTTGGTGTAAGAAGCCATTTCCATGTTCTCAAGGGGTGGTGCTTAACAGAAAGGCAGGAAGCATGCTAGCGGTCGCAAGATAAAGAAATAACTATCAGGAAGATAGAGAAGAGAGAAAGAGAGAGAGAAAGAAGGAAATAGCATAATATCTAGACAGCGTCCTACATATTCTTCAAAGCTTTATATATAGTGGAATTGTAATCAAATAGGCTGAACAAAGTTCTTCATCTTTCCCATCTTCGAAAGTGGTGCCTTGGCATCATATCAACCTGGTTAGTTGGCTAACCAAAACCATTCCGTTCAGAATTACAGAAAAACAGTAACATATATTATGGAAAGCATGCTTATATTGGTTGAATTCTGTGTTTCTATAGTAAAAAAGCAATGAGATTTTCTTAATGTATTATTGTTAGTCTTAACATTATTTTAGAATCAAAGTGAAGTGACTGCTGTCGGATGTCAATTAGATCATGCGGGTCAAACATAACATTTGACCCCATCTTACACACACCTCACCTCTTTGAAACAAGAAAAATTTCTCCCATAAATGGTATGAAAAATTGAATGGTAGGAGTATTGTTTTGAGGGAAAAGGAAAAGAAAAAGAAAAAGAAAAAGAGAAAAGGGTTGATGAGGGGGAGTGGTCCTAATGGAAATGGTTGGGGTGGAATGCTCTATTTATTCCCAGTGGTTTTGCAGGAAGAAGAGGACAAAGTTGTAAGATGGGCAAAGAATACAAACTCTTTTCAGCGAACAAAAAGGAGCTTTAACTCATCCCAAAGCCCACCCACAGTGCTAAAAGCAGACAAGTATTAAGACAACACATAACAAAGTAAGGGGGGGAAATCAGATGCACCAAATTAAACAGCTCCCTTAATTAATTCCCCCCAGCAGCATTTCAGTCTTATCTCATTGTTTCACTGTTCTTCACAAACCAGACACCATTAATGGCCCCCTGTTATAGCAGCCACACATGTCAAATTCTTTTGCCACCCACCACTCAGCTCCCAGCTTTATTTATTTGATTTTTTTAATATAATTTCTCCCAAGAAGTTGTAGCTGCCGGAGGAAGCTAAGCATCCAGTTTTGGTACTGAGGGCATCATCACAAGAGAGACATGAAGAAGGAAAAATAAAGATTCAGACCAAACTAAGCTCTTTGTCCCTTTCAATGGGGATTATTTAGCTTTAATTCAAAACAATTTCCTCAGTAATGTATAGCAGAAGAGTAGTGGGTTTGGTACTAAGAATGTGTTGTGTGTGTGTTGACATTTTGAAACTGTAGGACAGAGCATAAGGATGCAGGCTCTGGTCTGGCGAAATAAATGTCAAAGAAAGAGAAAAATGAAAAAGGGGAGACTGAGAAGGAGATAATCCGATCTGTCTGTATTTGTATTTTACTTTTCCCACTTCATATTTATTCGAAAGCTACGGATCAGACCAAGATTCATTGACCAACACAATACGACACCCAAACTGTGTGAGAACCACAACTCACTGCTCAAGTACCATAATTCTGGATTTTGGGAAAGATTCATCCTTCTTTCAATCCCCCTCTCTTATTTTTTTCACTTGATTGGTTATGTCACCAAATCTCAAGTGTATTATTATTATTTGAAAAATTATTGTAAAAGACTTATAGATAGAATGCAAAAATCAAATGAAGCCTGAAAGTAGACAATATCGTATCGTTATGAAGTATGAAGACTTTTAGATAGAATTAAGGTTTAGAAGCGGTTATTCTTCCAATAGAAATGAAAAGAATAACTTGAGTGCTTAGGTTGAATTCGAAGGAATTGTGTAAACCGAGTAATTTTGGAAGTTGGGTATCTAGAGCTTTTTAAGATGCAGTATTCAGAAATCCCTTCCTACTTGTAAAACAACAAATAATTAGTTAGAGAGACAGCTAGAGATTTTCGCAGGCACAAAAAGAAAGTCAATGCCTTATGTTCACAATAAATAGGAACCCCAAAATCAAAATGGAAATTGTATATGAATATGAAAGAAGTGGAGGGCAGAGATGAGATGAGAGACATCACAGAGAATGTTGTTGAGACATCTCTATGAGATGTCAAAAAGCATAAACTAAAGTGAAAAACAAAAACAAAAACAAAAAAAGCAGAGGCAAAAGTGAAGGGTTTTGAAAAGACAAGTATGGCCAAAATGTGTACAATATCTCCTCTCTGCCGTCACTTCACCAACTCTCTCTCTCTCTCTCTCTCTCTCTCTCTCTCTCTCTCTCATGAGACCCATCACGTGTGGTAGAGGTTGATAAAGTTAGGTGAAAAAGTGGAACATCCCTAATTCTTCTCACTTTGCAAACTCACCACAAGATAAGATATGCTTGGGACTTGAGAGCAATAACTCTTAAATCTCAACTCATATACTTACGTCTATTTCTATGCACATATCTCCCACCTCTAAACTTCAAATAATAGTTTCAATTTAGTCATTTTCTAAATATACCATATTTGTTGTGGATTGTAAGCTTACGTGACTGATTCTTATTGACAAAGTAGAAATTGAGCAGAGGAATTAACATAAGAGGGGAAAAAATATAAATTTGGAAGAGTTAGACATCTTATTTTCTTAGTTGGCCTAATTTATATGTAGATTTTTGACAACTCAGTAAGTAACATTCCATAAAACTTAGCTTAAGTTGAAATAGTATAATTGAAAAATGTTAGATCCTAAGTTATTCAATTTGTTTATAATAATTATGACATAAAAATACTCTTTTTAAGTTGTAACAAAAGAACCTACTACTACTGGATGGGACATGGAGTAGAGAGGGCAGTGAAGGAAATTAAAGCATGGTCTGAAAATCGCCGACGAGAGAGTTCATAGAGAGAACAAACCTTGAGGTCTACGCCAAGGACTGTGAAGAAGTCATTAGGCCAGCCATTAACTCAAGACTCCTGCCAAAACCACCGCCAAATGTATTAATTACACACCAAAAAAATACATTATAAAGACAATAAACCGCATTGATTTGCTGAAAACCTGAACTAATCGATCCTTTAACATAAAAGTTAACCAAGTATTTGACGTCTGGTCCAGAGACTGAGACTGAGGCAGCAAAAAGAAGAAGAAAGAAGAAGAAGATGTTGGAGGATCTGTTGGTATTTATGGTCAACCTTTGATTTGATTGGATTTTTCTCAGAACCCCAGCTGTTGAAATGTTGCCAAAAGCAAGTATGCAGGATAATGGCAAATCGAAACCAAACAAGCAGCACTTTTCTGTTCTATTTAGTATTTATTTCTGTATTAGTTAATTGATTCAATATCAGTAAAAGAATGGAAAAGAAAACGAAAACCAAAGACCCCAGATGAGAAGTTGAAGAGAACGACTAACTTTTTATACATATAACATTTTGCTTTTTAGAACTTGAGGTGTAAATCAGAAAGAACATTTTAAAAAACTTTTTAACAATTTTTTTTTATACAATTTTAGATTTAGATGAACCAATAGGCAATTGGTTTCTGTTTCTCTCCACCCTTTATTCGTTCTGCTCTGAAATAAGAAATGGGATGTTGTGAGTAACAGAGGAAGATGCGAGGAAAGGAGCAGAGTAAGTTGGAAGAATGGAAAGAGAACGTGGGGAATCGAGTTTTCTTTTGTTTCTTTAATGATATGGGGGACGGCGCCGTCTTGGGAAGAATTTAATAAAGAGTGCAAAAGAAAGAAAAAGGAGAAATAACAAAAACCTTGTGGCTTTCTGTTGAGAAGCAGAAGCAGAGGTGGATTGGCATATGGCATATGGCACTGCCTTTAAGAAAAGGAAAAAGAAAAACAAAAGAAGAAGAAAGAGGTTAGAAATGGGCTTTTTTTTTTTCTTTAGCAGAAAAAGAAAAGGCTAGCGTGCGCTACTGCCACTGCCTGCCCTTTGATTAAACAAATCAAAATTTCTCTCTTTTGAAAAAATGTATGTTGCAAAGGAACTGAAACCAAAGCTCAATGATGTGGGGCTGTGCTGAGGAATTTGATTAAACTAACCCGTAAAGGAGTAGGGACACCCCTGTAATTTCCTATCGCTGTCTGGGGTCGCGGACGGCGGCGGCGGCGGCCGGAGCTTTATTAATGGGACTGTGTGAAGCTATGACAGCATTGGTATGGGGCATAAGTTTATTTTTCCGGTGGGTTTGGTGTCTGTCCTTTGGACTTCGATGATGGGTTGTGAAGGAAATTAAAATGAAAAGGAAGGTGAAGACAGTGCGGCGGCCGGAATGTTCTGGGCGGCGGTGAAGGCGGTGGAACCGACCTATCTCACCTGCTTGGAAGATATGGGGTTGCTGCCGTACAATCTGACATTCATTCGCACAATATATAATTTAGCTTCAAATATATGCGTATATAAGATCATTTTTTCCAATTTACAAGGATGTCAACTTAAATATAGCTAATTAGTTAAAATATGTATTATGAATCTTAAGATCGATGTCCAATCTTACATATTAAACTAAAAATTAAGAAGAAACATAGGTAAATTAAGAAAAGAAAGTGTAATAAATTATTCTTAAATATAGTTCAACTAGTCAAAGTATGTATTATGAATCTTAAGATCAAATGTCCAATCTTACATATTAAATTAAAAATTAAGAAGAAACACTTGTAAAATAAGAAAGCAAGCGTAATAAATATTTTTACCACTTAAACTAAGAACGAAAACAAAATCTTCGAGAGTTTATATGTAATTTTACATTTAGATGGCGGTATAATTTACAATACTTTGGATTAACATGAATAGTATCTATTAATTATTTATTTTGAAAAGGACTAGCATTCATTTTTAGGAGTTTATAGTACTAAATAGATTACCTAAAAGTTAGGTTGGTGGAGAGTATTTGAATCTACAATTTTTAGAGACAAGTAATGTAATGACAAATTGAGCTATATATGTATGTCATATTTTACGTTTGATTACATCTTAGGTTTGGTTTTTTCTTTTTTCTTTTAATTTATTTTTTGTAAAAAAGATTTTAACTAATTTGAATATTAATGTAGTAGTACTATTCATCATCCATACAGTGGTGAAATTAAATACAGAGTTAAACTAAAAGTTAAAAATAAAAAATTTAGTTTTAAATATGAAAGTACCAAAATAAAAGGAAGTAAAATTTTTCATTTATTGGTTTAGTACGTAGACAGATTAAATTTTATCCTCTTCTTTCACTTTTATTTAATTCTTAAAGAGAGAGACTGGATGCCAAAATAATCAAATGATTACCATAATAAGCCAAGAAGTTAATTCTTAATGAGCGTGTATTAAACATAAACTTAATAAGTGGGTAATTATGTTGGTTTATTGATTATTGTACTTTAATGCACACACTAGAGAAAGAAGGAAAAAAAAAAGCCAATTACAACCAACCAATCACATTTACATTCTATAGAGTGTACCATGTCTGTGCTTTGAAAAAATATCAACATTTCCATGTTATCTATCCCCCACCACTAATTCTTTCCCTTTGCACTTCTCAATATACTACATTAGGTGTGAAATTACCACATCCAAAATTCAATGATTCAAGCCAAAAAAAAGCGATATGGGTGGAGTCGTCCGGAGCCATCCAGGTCGAACTACCCAACCAGACCAAATTTGAGTCGACCCAGTCCTAAGTTTGATTAAACCGGATTACATGAATCAATACAAGGAGATTTCCTCTATAAATAAGAGAAGAGAACAGTCTAGACGTGAAATATGCTCTCACAACTGTACTTTTTGATACTCTCGATGAAACTTTTTACTTACATATCAGAGTGTGTTGGACTTAGCACCAGAGGTGTGTAATTATTTTTGTGTGTAGGTATTCGCTCGAGATGTCGAACCCAAATATAAATCAAATCTATAACATAATATTTTTTACCTCTAAACTTAGCTAGTTGTTTTAATTCTCACTCTAAAACAACCCTTCAATAACTCTGTCAAAAAGTTACAAATTTCAAAAAAGAAAAAAAAAATACTCTAATGTTGTTTTTATATGAATCATATTAATTTCATACCAAATATATGTTTGATAACTTATAATATACGTTTTTCAACAATATTTCAAACGGAAGTTTCTAAAAGGGTAAAGATTGCAACATTTTTAAGTCTAAGGTGCAATTTAATGAAAATGAAGCCCTAACTAATAAAGAAAAAAGCTTATGGTAAGCCCTTGTCAATTTTAGAGTTTAAATTATCTTTTCCCTAACATATATCTAGTAGAAATTAAAAAAAAAAACATAAATTTAAAACATAAACCGCATTCTGTAACATTTTAAATATGTTTGTTTTAAAAAATTAAATTTTTTTTACTCCTCCCGAGGAAATGTACCTCATCATTGTGATGAAGGTTTCACTATTTAGGTTCTCAGAGTGTCTGTGTGTGTTTTTTTTTTCTCTCTTTATTATATTTATAGAGTGCGTTTGAAAATGCTTTGACAAATTTAAGTATATTTTAATAAAATATTTTAATTTCTATGCACTTTTAGTAAGACATATTTTATAAATACTTCACTTTTTGATGTTTGGTTCTAAGCTCTTAAAAATACTTTTGAAATGCATTTTATCAAATATTTAGGTTAAAATACTCTACAAAGTACTTTAAGATGCTTTTAATTTTTTTTTCAAAACTACTATTGTGTTACTCTCCAACATAATAATTTTGAATGATTTTGCCCACACCAAAAACACCTCCCAACATGCATATCGATGCATTAACCTTAACGTTAGTGGTTATATTTAATTTTTTGTTTTTCGTCTTTTAAATTTTAGTTTTATAACTTATAAATTTCTAGTGTTTGTTTTAAATTGTAGGTTGGTTACTAAATACGAAGTATTCTACCTATAAGAGTGAACTTCCATATGAGAAGTTTGTATCACCGACATTTGAATACATTTGTGATATCTTCTATTGATTTCTACTCTCTCACATTTCACATTTTCTCATTGTTCATCAAACACTAAAATTTTACTTGCTTCCGCATTGTTTTTTTTTTAACGCTTTCAGTTTCTCAACACCTTCAACTGAATCCTATTCTAAACAACCTCAATATAAATTAAGGATGATAATATTAATGAAAATGCATGACCCAGAAGATAGAATCCCCAAAAAATGACTAAAAATCACAGCTTTTTTTTCAAAGGGTACAGACAGAAATGTTAGTGACGAGTGAGCAGCAAAGAAACAGAGATTAGGTGGTGGCAGTGTCAGCATCAATAGAGGGGGAGCCATATTTTCTTTCTTTCTTGTTTTTAATTTCAAACAAAAAGAAAAAGAATGAAACTTTATCATCTTAGGAGAATTATTATTGTTAATGACAAGACATGGGTTGTTTGATACATCATATATATCAATCACCAAACTTTCCCTTTCTTTTTGGCAGAATATGGAAACAAAACAATTTGCTCATCATTCATTCTCCTCTCTTCCAATCCAACTTTGAAAATCTTTCAACTTTTTTTTCTTGTTCACTGACATTCTGTTTGCAATGGGTCATGTTTTTAGGTAGTTTGATGATGAAGACAAATGGTAGAGCCCATCAAACAGGAAAAAGTTTATAACACCACACGACTTCCCATATTTATCCGTCTCCATTTTTCTCAACTGGGATTCCAATTATTCTTTTCTTGAAGTGAAAGCTCACCAAAATCCACAGGGGATCAAATACTTTAGTTTATAAGTAATGACAAGATTTTTATTTTTATTATTTTTTTATTTTGTAAAAAGGTACGAGATTTTTGTCAACAGAACAGTTACTAAGATTTCTCAAATATTTGGAGTAGAAAAATAGAAAACGAGAACGACCCTTGAGATTCCCATAAAATTGAAAAAATGATGTGATTTTATTTCATGTGAATCCAAAAAGTAGGAGGCAATTAATTAGCCTGACGGCGGCCCATTTCTGACACTGTTGGCCCATTCTAATGGATAATGGGCTTCGTCCAAGATCCAATAAGTGTGAAAAAAAAAGGAAAAGGTTGAGCAATGGCCAAAGTTAGTTAGTCAGAAAATAGAAATTTGAAAACAAATTATTCAATAAAAAACAGAATTGTATTCTTTGTTATGTTTTGAGATAAGTGTTTAGTAGCAGATTTAGTAATTGAATCTAAATTTAAAAAATTATTCAACGTTTGTTGAACCATATATTTGTAAACTAGATTTAGTTATAAACTAAATTTAGTTTAATCTAAACTTATATTAATTAATTTAATAATATTTTTTAATGAATTTTGTATAATTATGATTTTACAAAGTTATATAATTTAGAATACATTACATTTTACATGTTTCAATTTTAACCAGCATAAAATGAGTTTATAATATGAATGTAGTATTTTTTTTAATTAAAGTTTTTTATCTTTTTAATGTAATTCTGCATCTTAAAAATTTCAAATTCTGAATCTGGAAACACTGTAAATATAAAAAAATTAATTTTAGAATTTCTACATTTGGATCACAAGAATCCGAGTTTCCAACCAAACAGACCCTTAATTTGAGATCAAAAGATTGAGCCTCTAATTTTGTGATTGAAATTTTCTTTTGAATTTGTAAGCAGCACCTGTGTATGATCAAGAGTTCATGAGTCCGAGTCCTGACGGCAAGTGCTAAATTTTTATTTTTTTTTCCTCTTTTTGAAATGACAAGAAGAGTTTGTATGTGTGTTAAGCTTAATACATCAGCAATTTACGATCTCCTGCCCATTAAGTTTCTTCCAAATCTTCATCTTCAAGTCCTTTATCTTTACAACACATCTGCCAAAACAAAACAGATAAAATTAAATTCCCATGGAATTCAATTCCAATTCCAATTCCCTTGCATGAATTATTTATATGGGAAAATACAAAAAATAAAAATAAAAAATTAGAACATAAAAACCTGATTCTAGTCAACAATTTCCCGTTGATCTCAGTTACAGAGAATTTTCCATTCACATACCCAAATCGAATTCTGGCATTGTCCCTAATTTGAGAGGTGGACAAAGACAAACATGTCGCAGCCTCAGCCTCTTCTCTACCTTGTACATACACACGTAATTTAACGCGACGATTAACGTTGTATCGGATTTTGAAGTCGCTGTGGCTAACGTCGACATGTCGGCCCGGAAGGATCTCGTGTTCCAGTACCAGAAAGTTACCGGGTCCTCGGATTACCCGGTACACAACCGGGTCCGAGTGGTGGTTCTCGAGCCGGGTTACCCGCGAAAGCATGCACCCCATCCAATGGCGGGGGAGTATTAATGCAACGTAAGTTATATAATTTCTGAAGAATTAAGAAAATAATTAACCATATAATAATTAAGCTGGAGACCAGAGCAAATGTTTGGTTTGGCACGTGCAGTACACGTGGAGAGTGTGGATTTTGTATTACAATGTGTGTGTAGAAATTCTAGGGACATTAACCTCGTCGAATGATGTCAGATATATTACGTGAGAGTTTTCTTGTTTCTTTTCAAAGAATTGCAGGGTTTAATAGTGTATTATTTAATAACTAGATTTATGGTACCACTGCAGCATAGTGTAATTGATTAAGAATCTGTTTAAGAATAACTTTAGAAGGAGTAATTTCAATAAAGAAAAATAATTGATTTTGTGAAAATGATCTGTATGATTATTTTAATATTTGGTTACACATTTTCAAATAATATTTATATATATTTGAAGTTTAAAGAGATAAATGGATAAAATAAGCTTAGAGGGAGAATACAAAATTTTTAGATTAAGAAGTTAGAGAAAATAAACTAAATTAAAGTTAAATAGAGTTAGATATTGACAAAAATTTTGAAAAAAAAATTTCAAATTTTAAGGTGAAATAGAAAAACAAATTTGAAATCTAAAATAATAATAATTTTAAAAACTAATTTCAACGTGAATGAGAGTGATTTTTTGTAGTGCAATATGTGGAGGGGTGAAATCAAAACTCACAATTTTTTGATTGGAGATATATGTCAATTGCTACTTAAGCATACTCATGATAATAGGTCGGGAGTAATTCTAAACCTGCTAAAATCACTTCCAAAAATATATTTAACTTTAAAGTGGAAGTTAAAATATTCATATGGTTAAAACTATATTTGTGATATTTTTAGGGGGAAAAAAAGTTGCACTAAATTTGTAAACTAAACATATGATTTGTGAGGGAAAGAGAAGGTAGAGCACGTGGTGTCACGTGACGCAGGGGTGGCACGTTCATGCTTATGGAGAGCATGCTGCAACGTGTTCGCGCCACGTTGCTCACTAGTCACGCCATGCACGCAACTACTCGGATCACGACCATTTCTAGAAGCCCAACTCAAAGTCTCAAAATTAATTAAAAAAAATAAAAATCATGCTAGGGATCACATAGGAGCAAAATTCAAACATTATACATTAAAATTATCATTTTTTGAGATCTTGAAAATCAAATAGCAATTTTAGGAACCAAATAAAAATTAAACCAAGTCCAAATTTGAAGGACTAAAATTATAATTTACCTAATAAAATATTATATTTTAACGAAAAAAATTGACATTTACCACTCAATTTAATAAGGTGAATTTAATTTTTATTTAAATTAGACTTTTCAGGCTTGAAAAGGTATACAAATTTATTATTATTATTATTATTTTGCAAGGGAAAGTATAGTATACAATTTTTACCCTATAACAGGTTTTCGTTTGAAAATTTATAAAAATAATATATTCCCACGGCATTCAATTAAATTATAAAACAGAGGTACAGTTACAGAATTTTATTAGTTATCAAGAAAATATGAATTAGAGTTGGACCTTTAATTTTTAACTATGGTAGGTTGAGTAATTGATCCAAAAAAGACTAAGATAAATAAAAAAGCTTTGGAGGAATAATTTCAAACCCATGATGCCTCCAAGTTAAGAATTAAGCTAGTTTGTTGTGAGATTAGTTGCTTAAACTAGCTTGAACAACTCATTGGACAACCCATTGATAAATATATAAATAAAAATCTATAGAGAGTTGGACATAAGCGAAAGCGAACATAAATTAATATATACCTCCAACTATAAAGTTGTGATTTCGATTCCCCACCCCACATATTGTTATAAGAAAAAAGTAAAGCAGAACGTAACAAAATATTTAACCAAATATAAAATTTGAAACTTTCTAATAAAAAAAATGTATCAACCATTTCAAGTTCATATAATTAATTTATTAAAAATATTTAATATACAGCAAAATAAACTACGTATACTAAGGCTCAAGATTTTGCTTTCAACTAATCCTTACAATTTTTTCTTTCTTCGACAAATTCAAAGGATATTAACTTATAGAACTCCTAAAACTTCTCAATCCAGAAAACAAACCAACAAATTGTAATTAATTATACGCTCCCTTTAAAATTTAAGAGTAATTTCACTTCTATTACTTTCTCCACCCTCCTCGGATCTCGATCTCCGCCCCTTAATTCTCTCGTCGCCATTTTCGCCGCCCTCGATTCTCCAGCTACTGCTCCCCGATTTCTCCTCCTGGAAGCTCTCCGACCGCTCCCTCGTGCCCCTCGCCTCCGATTCCGGTGAGCTTCCTGCAGTCTGCGGCGTCGGCCCCTTGTACAACTGCACCTGATGATGTTGCAGAGACGGGTGCTGAAGATGATGCGGCGGCGGCGGCGTTCTTGTATAAAACTCTTGCGGCAGTACTGCAGGCGGGGTGTAGAAGTGGGAAGGTGGATGGGATGTGGGCGGTGCTTGGCCGTACAGGGCGGGCGCCCCACCCTGCGCCACCGCAGCCGCCGCCGCGTACTCCGGCGGTACCCAAAGCCCGCCCAGACCCAGTACGACGAGCTGAGCCGGTGGCGGTCCGGATGCTACTTGTTGGGTTGGACCCGGTCTTCTCGTATGGAGCCTATATTTCTGCGAGTAAGAGAAAAATTAAGGAGAATTAAATATCAGTAATCCCGGATTTTTTTTGTTTTCTCTTTAGAAAATAATTTGACTCTTCGAGGCCCATCTTTTTCTCATCCTCTTGTAACTAGAAGTGGGAAATGTAAAAATAATTTCTTTAAAAAAAATAATGAGCCGTAAATTTTTAAATTGCAGTAAAAATCAGATTGGGTCAATAAATAAAGAGTCAGGTATTTGTAAAGAAAGAATGAAATTTTATGGTAGAAAATACTTGGCTACTTGAAGGTAAAAAAGAATATTGTCATCATTATCATTAAATATCTAACAGCAGAGAAAAAAATGAAAAAATAAACGTCTTTTTTTTAATAGAATGAGTTGTCAAATTTTTCATGATGGAGAGGAGAAGGTTCAATCCTCACCGTTAAGACCAAATAGACCAAATATTGTCCTTTTATGATTGATTACCTGCAGATGGCTTTTTACTTCGTCGTTTGTCAAGCCGTCAACTTTCATCAACTCTCTAATCTGCTTTGGTGTGGCAACTGTTAAATTTCAATAAAAAAAAAATTATAGTTAATAACTTAATCTCTGTGTTGTTATAAGTATAAACTTGTATGTTAAATTATAAGTTGGTCTCCCGTCTTTAAATTTTAAATTTCGGGTCATTAACTAACATAAATAGTATTATTTTAAGATTAATTACTTAGCTGATTTCAAAACAAATTTAAGAATTTGAGGTGTAATTATTAAGTTTTTATTTATAGCCATTCTGTTAAAGTCAAGAGCTAGCTTCTAAACACCATAAGTGTGTTTAAATCTGTTTTTTATTCTAATTTTAAAATTCAAATACTTTTTTATGAAAGATAAAAATAAAAAATAAAATTGTTAAAATACAGAGAACAAATAGAGAAAAGCTCGAAAATCTTTAGTAGACCCAGTTAAAATTTTTTTAAAAGTAATAAAAACCTAATTTTGGTTCAAGTTATTTTAGGTAATTTGAGAGTTGAGAATTATATATACATACCTTGAGAACCACCGAGCATCTGAAGAGCATTAACAAATCTCCGGTGCAAGTCCGGCGACCAGCACCGCCTGGCCTTCCGGTGAGTCTGACTCGTAGAGTTTGCATTAGAACTGGTCGTACAACTCGGCGTCGACTCAGTCAATAATCCCACCCGATCCCTTTGCTCGTCGCCACCGCCACCAATAATATTATTAGGTGCTTTCTCTAATAACTCCATTTCGGGCACTTTCTCGGCGGCGGCGCGTGGGCCGGAGTACGGAATGAAAGCTCCATTATTGTTATTATTATTAATAACGGATCTGTGGTTACTAGTTTCTGAAGAATTATTAGAGTCTTGTTTGGACTGGTGTTTGGTTGCGTCGCTCGCATCCTGACTCCAAAGCTGGACTGACGTCATCCAGTTTGCTTTGTCGGAAATAGTCGCCGGATTTTGATCCTCCGCCGGCGTTGAATTTTTCAGCGGCATGAATTCTTCAAGAACTGGCTTTGGTGTTGGTGCTTCAATCGTCTTGCAGGCTTGAAGCTGCCTCTTTGAGGTCTCCACAGCTAATTATTATACACCAACACATACCAATTTAGCAACCATGAATAATTAGTAGTAAATTAAAAATGGGTTTAAATCCCATTTTCCATTCGAATTTTCTAGGTTATTTCATTTAGTTATTTATACTTTATTTGATAACCATTAATTTTGTTTCTAGGTTTTTTGGTTTTAAAAAATAAGTTTAGAAACATTACTCTTTTGTTAGCTAGGTTTATTAACCATTTTAAAATCTAGGACAAATTTTTATTTTTTAATTTGGCTAAGAATATAAATATGTTTTCAAGCCAAAGTTGAAAAACTTAAAAATGAAATGGTATAAAAACAAGCATAATTTTAAAAAAACTTAAAACTAAAAATGAAATTAGTATCAAACCACACATTAACTTATGTAAATTTAAAAAATAATTTAATTATTTCAGTTTCTGAATACTTCAAATATATATATTCATATGTTGACATGGGATGTATTTTGAGCCCTATAGAATGGTTGGGACAGAGCTATATAGAACTAGAAATTTCTATAATATATGCAATTTCGAAAATTTAGAAGAAGCAAGCAAATTACATAGAAAAAGTTATACTTGAAAATCTTAACCTTTTTTATATATTTTTTTTGCAATGGCTTCTTTTTACTTCTTTTTTTTTTCGGCGACCTCTAAGCAGAGGCAAATATTAAATTATAGAAAATATCATGATTTTTTTTAAAATAATATTAGAATAGAATAAACTTAAAAGTTGGAGAAGAAGGGTTAATTAGTACCGTTGGTTAAAAGCTGCATGCAAAGAGGAAGCTCCCGCTTGAAGACGTCGATTTTGAGGCGCTCTTCCTCAAGGCGGGAGACAAAAGCCCGAAGCTTATCGTAGGACTGGTCGGCGGTAGCGACGGCGGCGGGTGTGTGCAGCTGGTGATCTCCAAAAGAATATTTAAGCAGCATGGAATAGCTTTGAACCTTGCATTCCAAGCTCAGTTCTGTGGATGCCATGACCTATTCTACCCAAACACAATTATTATTATTATTATTCAACATAATTAATTATCTTCATACCCTCGCCCACATAGTAACTCGATCTGAAACAAACAATTGGAAGAAAAAAAAGTGGGTCTTTGGCGTTTGGCCTTGATCTTGAGACTTGAGAGAGAGAAAGTTGGAGGATGTTGTTTAATGTGAGAAAATGGGAACGATATATTGTCTTCTTTTATGGGTGAGTTCCAAGGGAGGGAATAAAGCAATTTCTAGAGAGAGAGCAAACAAAAAAAAGGCCAAAAAAAAAAAAAAGAAGAAAGAAAGAAACGAATCTGACTGTGGTTTTTCGAACCTTTGGATTTTATAAAGAGAAAAAAGAAAAAAAAATCACTATGGCAGAGCAGAACCAGAAACACAAAAAAGACGATTCTTCTTTCCATATTCTGCCTTTTCTTTTTTCCTTTTTTCATTTTTATTCATCTCACCTCTCTCGAATGAGAGCTTTTTCTTCTTTTTTGCTTTCTTGCTTTATATTATCTGATAAAATTAATACCCATTATCTATGTACATTTACATGTGTATATATAATAAATGGGTATAAAAAGAAGGGTCTCTTTTCTCTTTTAATTATTTTATTTAACTTGTATGTTGATTAATTAATCATTAATTTTCATATAATTTCAAGATACAATGATTATTATATTTTGTAGAGAGAAATTGTGATGGGGTGGTAATTATATGATTTATTTGAATGGAGAAGTCAAAAATGGAAAAGGAATAAAATAATTGGAGCACCACACGAACATATACGGCCAAGTAGTCCTTTTTTTTTTTTAATGGATCAGATTTACAATGTTTTATTGACTAATCTATAATACAACTTTCAAAAGAGAACCCTAAAGTGTAGCATATACGGTAGAGAGAGAAGGGGGAATATTTAGTCGATAACGAAATATTCATGAAAATTAATTAATAATTTTATGGTCTCTGAAAGGAAGGAATAAGTAATAAAATCCAACTTTACTACAAGAAAAGAAATTAAAAAAATATATGGGCATACCAAATACAAGCCATAAAGCCCAAAAGTGGAAATTCCCTCTGGTCTCTAAATAAGAATGAGTTGTAAATAGTGGCGATTTAATTAAAGGATGGGAATCTTCGTCTGCTACCCACTTTAATGAAGTGGACTATAAGGTAAGAAGATTCTCACTAAAATTTAGACGAACCTTTTATCTTTTTGGGGTTCTGAACCATATTTGCATGGCTGTTTGGATCTGGCTGGAACTGGCACAACAACCAGAATTCACATTTTTACATTTCTTCTTTTTTTTTCCCTTCGACTATTAATTTTCATATTTTCTAAATGTTCTGTTTCCATTTTTTTTTATATCCGTGAGTGTCCGGGCCAACAAGATTTGCACTTATTCCCTCTCACTTTATCCTATCTAATCTTTTTAAACCAACGAGCCATTCTTATTGGTTACTCTATTTCAATTGTGAGGTTTATCTATTCTTATAGATAAGATAAAGCTATAATTCTAGGAACCACTGCTAAGTCAACTCAAGTCTGTCTGAGGCCTTGAGCGTAGAAATAATCCAAAAGGTCAAGTTTCTAGACACAAACCCGGTAGGTCCAACACATGATATAGGCTCGGTCATGTGCACCACAAGTAAGTTCTTAGGTACATATGCCAAGAAGTTCAGCAGTCTAATGGAATTGAGTTCGTTGGGCCACACTAATTCTGTGAGACGAGCAGAAGAGAGAATATATCTAGAAGTTATGAATAGAAACGATTGTCTCGAGGTGTGCTACAAAATTTTAAATTTTGCTACTATTCATGGTAATTTGGTTATGGGGTCAAATTTAGGAACATGAACCTACATAAATAAAATACGTAGATGATGAAAATGAAATATTTAGAGGGATTACTTAATTTTGTTTATTTATGTGTATACTTTTAGTTAAAAAATAATAATAAAAAGAAAATAAGCTGGGAAGGTAGCTTGTGGAACAAGCTCCAAGCAGCGACTTTTGGAGATTCTCTTGGGTGTCTTTTGTTTTGTATTCGAGAAAGGAAAAGGAGAAAAAAGAGAAGGTGAGGTAAAAGAGATTCTCCTCGTGACACGTGTCGCTATATTCTCTTTGAAATTGTTCCTCTGAATATCCTTTTTGCCTGGCGCCCACACCCAGGAATATTCCCTCCTCTTTTTTCAAAGAGTAATTTTGTCGAACTCCAGGTACCCCTAGCCCTATTATCGTAATTTCCCCCTTTCTGTTTCCCTCCAAATTCGCCCTTTACATTTTCAATATTCCGATGGCTACCCCCAACCTATAAAGACAAACTAATTTTCGAATACAAATAGAAATATAGATTTAGTTCATAATTTTAACTTTCATATATTTCTTGTTATTCTTCTTTAGGTTCAAATCAAGTACAAACACATGGAACGTGGCCTCCGTGTGTGTTCCGTGCTAAGGATAAGGAGGAAATTAGGTTATAGTGTCTACAAGTAGAGTTTAGCTCAATTTCAACTTAAAGAAGATCTTGATTGACATTGGATATTCAATGGAACGTCAATTCTATTAGTAGATAATCTTCTAATTGTTGAACGAAAAATCTGTTGAATCATAGACTACAATGATCATAGTTACGGAGTCATATTTATTAATACTCTCCCAATACAAGGAAGAGTCTTGCCCTCTCAAAGGTATGGAATCTCTTGAGTCTTGCATTCATATAAGCTTGAGTCGACAACAATATTAGACTAAGTACTCACTTGAGTTTTAGAGTGTGAAAGATCTAACTAGTTTGCTAAAATATTATTATATTTTTAACGTTTCAAATTTTTGGATCTTAGAAATTAAAACAATTAAACGAGATAACACAACGACGTTTTTAACGTGGTTGGTTTCCCAACCTACTCCACGAGACCATGCCCAGAGAATAAGATTAACAATCAAAAGTTAGTACAATTTACAATCAATATTGACTTATGCATAAAAGAACTCATTTCTTAAATCATGCCACAATGCTTGATCGACTCCTCCTTCGATTGAATCTTTTCAAACACAAACTCCCCTTGTGTTGTAGACCACCACTTGAACTCCCTTCAATCGTGGATGTGTCTTATCCAATACTTGACAAAAATATCACAAAAGAAAAACAACTCACACAATTGCATTTATCGAATTGCATAAAAAATTCTCTCTCAAAATTTTACACCATAAACAATAATGCTTAAACAATTTGAGAGAATAAAATAAACTTTGCTCCACACTTCTTGCTTGATATGTTCTAAGACTACACAATAAATAGACAAGAAAAATTGACATGAGAAGGAAAGTGAATTTATCACAATTCCAATTCAACCACAAATCTCTCAATACCATTAAAATACAATTTTCATATAATCAATTAGTAAAACATTTCAAGAAAGAAAACTAGCCGTTGGAAATCAAATTCAAATTCAAATTCAAACATACAAATAAATTGAATTATACACACAAAATAAATTAAATAGAGAAAATGATTAAATAAAATTTAATGTTTTTGTCAAAAATGCCAATAAATGAAATTCCTTTCAGAGAGTATGTAGTGGAGCATCCTATTGGTGCAAGGTTCTAGATCTGTTTGCAGGTTCACAGCCAAGCATGCAACATTAAATCGTCTGCCAGCGTGTCCCGTGGGCCAAAACACACCTCAACAATATTAATTTATGACATGTGCATTAAATAAATTTTAGCTAAGTTATTAATATTTGAATAAAACAATATAAATAGATTTTAATACTCAAAATTCAAGAATTAAAATGGCAAGTTAAGCAAAAAATAGAGTACAAAAATAAGGTAGATGTGTAAGAGTGAGAAACGTAAATATATTTATCTTTTTTTTTTACAATAAGTAGAGTATGGGGCAATCGACCTTAACTCTGGCTCAAAGACACATACTAATTACCGTTAAGCTAAATTTATGACGGTGATCATGCATTAATATTATAATTTATAAATATATGGGTTGGAAAGTAAAAAAGTTTTTCTTTTTTTTTTCTTTTTTGAAACAGATCATATATACACATATGAGAGGGAACTAATGGTTCTACTAAATTCCTTAATGCACTTAACTTAATAGAGAATATTTGAAACCTTTGGCATCTGAATTTAAATCTCAATTATTCATTCGTGGTTTCAATCTACCATGCTTTTTAATTATACTTAGATGCTTCTTTATTTTATCAGACTTTGTATTCTCAATTACAAATTCCTCTACTACTTTTATATTCCCCAATATCCGGTGTCAAATTGATAAAGACTTTATGTTATATAGTTCACTTTTGCCTCTTCAAACATTATCCTCGAGATTTCTTACATCATATTTGTTGTGAAGTTTATATGGAGATTGAATAATTATTAAATCATCATAGGACTCAAATTAAGCTAAATATATAAATAATTGATTGAAATAAAACAAGATCGAAAAATATGTCTTTTATTACACACTAACATATAAATTAGTTGATGCAAGATTTTGGCTAAACGTTGCATCGTGAGGTCTTCGACCATACATACACTCTAAAGCTTGAGATGGTACTTAGTCCAAGTTAACTTTCGAGTCCTACTTGAGTAATTGAATGAAAATAGATTGCAGATCTTTTACAATGGGAACATTGGAAAATGCAGCTCTGTGATTACAGCTTCTATTAGTAGGATCGATGTTTCGCTGATTGTCAGCGAAACTGAGCTCTGTCTCAACCCAAGAACCATCACGAGTATAGCTTAATGGTAAACGACATATATAATAATTTCGTAGCTGTTAGTATTAAAAATTAAATAAATATCTTCTTAAAAACTTGAAGCAGAAGGTGTGTGAGAGGGGTGGAGAATCAGAGAAGAAATTGTGGTCGACCTCTTAGGAAAAGATGGAGTTATAACACTAAAAAGGAAGAGGGGGTCACATGTTGAGTGTTAATGAAGCCTGGAATATAATTTTGTACAATACTCTCTCCAACAGAATCTATATGCCTTTCTTACCTTCCTTACCACACCACCACACGTGTTTTCTTTTCTTTCTTTCCTCCCTTTACAAATAGTTTATCAAATTTGTATATTTTGCATCTTAAAAAAAAATTTGAAATTATTTTGATGCACAAAACAAACACTGTTTGAGAAAACTTTTTTTTTTTGTTAACTTTTCAAATTATGCTAGTTTCTTTACCATTTCTTTGGAATGTTTTTAAAGAATAAAATCAAAATTTATAAAAAATATTTTTTTAATTTTCTAATTTGTTTGATAAAATTGAAGAAATTAAGATTGAAATTCCACATAGAGGTAAGAAAATTGATGTAAAAAAAAAAAGTAAGAGAACTAAAATTTTCAATATAATGTATTAACTAAAGTGTTAAAATATCTCAAGCTACTAAAGTGTTTTTCAAAATATTTTAAGGTCTGGTAATAATTTAATACCATATTTATATATATAAAAGAAAAGGTAAAGTAGGAGGGAAACTTCATTTCATAAAACAAACTTAATATTTAGTTTCAAAAAATGTCACAAATTTTCACTCTTTCATATATATGACAAGTTTGACTATTCTTAATGAGTTTTACACTACATTTGATTTGCGACACTAAACCTGACTTTAAATTTTGTGCTATATTTAAAAATATATTTACCTAACTAAATTCTAAAGAATCGATTATTGGAAGTGAGGCCGTAAAACTTTTAACTGACAGTAAATTGATTATTTTCAAATATGTAAAAAAATATCGATGATATTTGATTTTAAATTTTATTTTTCGATACAGATGTAAATCTGTGAGGAAAAGGTTTGATAATAGAAATATTAATTGCTTCTGGAGAAAAGAAAAATAAAACAAACAAAAGCTTTGGAGTCGCCACCAATCATGTTGAGGGTGTGATTGGTCGTCCAATTAGAAGAAAGATAAATTGGTCTGCATAAATTAAATCGAGTTCCGGAGTCATTTGTGAGTAGGGAAGGTACTAGCACCCTACAACACCCGTGAAAACAGTTGCCAACATTTTACTTTTATTATCCTATTTATTAAATTATTGAAGGTCTACAAAATTTTATTTTTAAATGTCTCAGGTTTATCGATCCACATTTTATAAATAAAACATGGGCTAATAATTATGAATGACATAAATACCATTGAAAATATGAAAAATTATTTTTGGAAGAAATTTTATGTATTTAAAGAATTCAACAAATTTCAAAAAAGAAAAACACTAATCAACCTCCCTTTATTTTGTTATTTTTTAAAAAAATTGTAAGTAGTTTTTAAAATTTATTTTTAATTGTTTTATGGAAAACGTTTTGAACCATTAAAAATTACATAAAAATGAGAATTTAATGTATTTATGGAATTTATAAAAAAAAACCATAAAGAGACACTACTTTATTTGTGAGTTTTAGAAAAATTCACAAAGTGAACCCTACTAGTTTTCAAATCTGGTTTTTATATTTGTGGAAACAAAAAGATTTTTTTTCACTTTATAAAACTAACTTGAAATAAATTAGCGTATTTATGACATTTTAAGAGGAAAGAGGAAAAAAACTATATAGAGAACATTACTGCAATTTCAAAATTTTAATATTTAAAATTAGAAACATTTACTACAAGGATGATATTTACCAAATCTCACAATTATAGCTTCAATATTGAAGATTTGAAAAAAGATTAAAAAGCTATACAGGATCTCTTGAGGTAAAATTTAGAAATATTTACCCAGCATTGCAATCTCAAAATTTTAATATTTAAAATTTTTTATATTTTATGTAAGCAAAATGATTTTTTTTTAGATTTATAACAAAATAATTTGGTGGAGAATTAAAGGTTTCAAATTTTGAAAGCATTTTGAAATTATTGGGTTAAATTGGGTTTAAAAGTAACATGACCCAAGATTAGATAATTATATGGTCTAAAATCCACAAAAATACAGTAAGTCAAGATTCAAATTATCTGCAGATTATTCAAACTACAAAAATTTAATGCATATCTCATACATTCAAATCTAAAATAGAATTGACATGGAAAATGAATTAGCAAATCAATTAAACAAATTCTAACTTACATGGACGAGAAAAAAATTAACAAAATAAGACAAGAGACATGGAAGGAAATATTAACGGCATACTAAATGAGACTTTTAAAAGAAGGAAGAAAAAAATTGCTGAAAAAATGTTAGAACAATCATACTCCATCATGACGTAGATTTTATGAATGGAAAGATAATGAATACCTAAACCTTTAGTGAAATTCTACCGAAATTTTGGAGGAAGGGTGACCCTGCAATCTCACCGGATAAATTTGAGATATAATCTTTTTCCTTCTTATGGAGATCCCCAGTTGAACCAAAAATCAAAGAGCTTCCTCCTTGAGGGAATTTTGAGGAAGAAATAAAGAATCAGGGAGAAAATGAGAAATTGGTGGGGAAGAAGAAGAATGTGACGAGGGAGAACGTGGGGAAAAGATACAAGAGAGAAGAAAAATTGTTTGGAAAATGGAGAATGTGAAAGAGAACGAGATATTGTTGGAAGAGATGGAGAAGTTAGGTAAAACTGGGAAAGTGAGTAACTCCAGCGCTTGTCCCACATTGGCAGAATCCCAAAAATGAGTGCCGCGAGTAAAATATAAAACCACGCTTGAGATACGAATTTAAGCATACCTTTCTCGGCCTTTTGGCTAAGATCAAGTGTAGTATCTGTTCTTATCAGTTTAATATCTGATACGTGGGCCATCGGCCCACATGATATTAAATTTATTTTTTTAGGGGGAGGGCCCATTAAGTAGCTTGCTACTGGGCCTCTCGCGCGTCGCCCGAGTGTTGCACTAAAGCTTGGGCTGGACGCACCCCTACAAACACAAGTGTTAATTCTTCTAATGTTGAATTATTTAATTTCTTTTATGATCATTATTAATTATTAATGTTCTGTAAATCCCATGCTACGTGATTTTTTTTTTTCATTTAGGTCATTGGTACATCAGTAGCTGTAGTCTTTTTTGTTTTTCAATTTTCATAAACGAAATAATTTAGTTTAGTTATTTCATTTGAAACTTTAAAATTTACATAAATAAAAAAATCGTATTTTTTAGCATTAAGTGAAAAAAATTTCTCCTTGATAGTAGTTTCTATTATTTTTGTAAAGACTATATATAATAAACCTTTTGAAACTATATCATTTATGCATCTTGTCTCTAATTTAGAGAGTTCGATTTTGATATGAATTCTCTAATTAACTACAATGGTGTCCTTTTAATTTTATATGAAAAACCGGCACTAATGTAATACAATGCATTGCAACCTTTGATACATTACTAACATTTTTAAAAATTAAATTTAAAAATAAAAAATGAATTTAATAGTCGATAACCTTTTATTTATTTTTATAAGTTTAAAATCAAGCTTCTAAACACTAGTTTCATTTTATGTGCTTTCTATTTTTGTTTAAACAATTTCAAAATCTAAGTATAAGTTTATTTTTAATTTTCAAAATTTAGCTGCAAAGGTACATGCATTTCAGTAAGAATGAAAATAAGATAAACAAAAAACTAGAAATTAACGCTTCACTAACCATTTAGTTTTTAGTTATATATTTTTTAAAATTAAATTTGTAAATATTATTTCCACCTATATATTTATTTGTTTTATATGTACTTTTTAAAAATATTTTTAAGTGCAAGATAAATTTCGAACTAATAACATTAATTTTTAATAACTTATTTTTTGAACTTGTCTAAAAATTTAAATGTCTTCCTAAAAAAAAAAGGTAAAATCATACTAATAAATTGTGACCAACGAAATATAAAGCTAAAAACCAAAGGATGATTAAATGGCTAAAATGAAAATTGGTCTAAAATTTTCACTTTTTATGTGATGTTATGACAATCTGTAACTGTAAGGATGTAAAAGTTACCTCAAAAAAGACAAAATACATATACGTATATATCTATTGCATACGTGACACGTGTCCGATTTACACACTATGGGATGTTTGACAATCTATAAAGTTGTAAACGTTACTTCAAAAAAGACAAAATATATATATCTATATTGCATACGTGCCACGTGTAAGATTTATATATTAAAAAATTAAAAAAATATATAAATAGAGAAAATGGACAAATAAATGAAGTGTGACATGTAACGTATCCCAAAAAACCAGGCGTAGTTTATTCAATACATCCAACCAACATCAGATGCATATAATAATAATTAAAGAAATAAAATCAATCTGAATTTAATGCTTTTGAAGTTTGAACAATCCACAAAAGGACATTTTGCTTGCATGCATGAAATGGAAGGCGCAGGGAGAAAGGCATCAAATGACGTACAATCACAAATCAAAACCTTCATTTAATTTTTTTAACTTAAAAACTTTTAATGCTCTATTTCAATTTTACTCAATTATGGTAATTGGCACATTTCACAGATTGAGAGATAACGGGTTTAAATCATCGCCTCCTACTGGAATAAATAAAATAAAATGTTCGAATCTTATTTCTACTAATCGTTTATTAATCATTCTTTTTGAACTGTTTCCAATCGTAGTATTCATTACTGATTGTATTAAAAAGTTCGTCTTTTTGGCAATATGAGCATAACTTTCATTCTTGGCCCACTACATATGTCTGAAATTGCCGCGCGATTTAGAGAGAAGTGTTGTACGCAATAATGGCGTTGGAGAGCTCGAGCAGAGGCAGCCATGGCTATAGACGAGACGACACAGAAGAAGTTGCTCTCAGGTGGGCTGCTCTCGAGAGGCTTCCCACCTATCAAAGGGCACGAAAAGCTATTCTACACGGTGTTGCAGGTTAACAACTAATACATTTTCTTCTCGATCTTCATCCGACGAAACTCTTTACTTTCTAGTCTCTCAATAGGTTTCTCAAAATGTGTTGCATTACGTTGCAGGAGAGTTGAAGGAAATCGATCTTCAGAAGCTTGATTTTCAGGAGACCAAAGAGATTTTGAACAGGCTGGTGAGAAGCGTGGAAAGTAATGAGGAATTCCTGCAGAAACTCAAGAACCGAATCGATAGGTTTCGAAATCGCTCGCCATTCTTCTATTTTGTTAGGTTTCAAATTGAGTCGGTTTTGTGCATTTTGTTCGCTGTTGGAAGATTGCTCACTTTTTTTTTTGGTTAGAGTTTCGCTTCGTTTGCCCACAATCGAAGTGCGATTCCAGAATCTTAACGTCGATGCTGAAGCATACTTGGGAGGAACAGCTTCGCCCACAATCTTCAGCTACTTTCTAAACCTTGCTCAGGTCAATATTGTATACGTCGATGTTAATCGAAATGTTACGGTCTCAATTTTAATTTCACAAAAATACTGTAGATCGATATTTTTTTTTGTGGGAGAGTTAAAAGAGAAATTAAAAAATCATAAAAATATTTAAATTAACAAATATACACTTTCTATTTTTAAATAAGTTAAAAATGAATCGTATTAATATTAGTATTACGTATATATAATGACATTTAATGACATTTTGTTGATATTTTCCATATTTTATCCACTTTTTTTTGCGCTATAATGAAGTCGATTTACCATTCGTGTTGATATATCAAATTCATGGATTCATGGACATGTCGATGTAAATGTCTGTCGACGAATATTTAATACCATGCGTATACCGGGAACTAGATGGTTTAAAAATCTTCAACTACTTTCTATTTTTTTTATATGCTTTAAATTTATAATACGTCGGAATAAAGTATCCATTACGGTTCATCCAGAAATTGTTTAAAAATTTTATTCATCTTTTTGTAACCTGAGTTATGTTCTCATTTTTGTGGACATTTATGGATCTTACAATTTACATTTTTTTTCTAAAGCATCATATTTATCTTAGAGTCTTTCTTCTTGTAGAGTGCAGCAAGCTGCATTCATCTATGTTCAAGCCAAAAGCAGCGATTCCCAATTCTTCGTGATGTGAGTGGCATTATCAAACCAGGAAGGTGAGGTAATAGCTGGCCATATACCTTTTATTTAAAAGGCACAGCCACGTAAAACATAGCCAAGTGTCGGTGTCGACTCTGACAAGCTCGGATGCATGTCTGACATGTTCATTTGAGTGTTTTTTTGATTCGAATAAGAAAAGTTCGGAGTCGAAAGAAGAAAGAATGGTCAAAAGAAGAAAATTAATAAAAAGAAGAATAAGAACGGTAGGAAAGAAAAAAAAAGGCAGAAGAACGAGAAAAAGAGGAGAAGAAGAGAAAAATCAAAATGACATGCAATATCTTTTTTTAAAAGGTGTGTCAATTAGGGTTGAGCTAAAATTTATGTTGCCATACAATATTTCTCCTTATACAAGTGAATTTTTTTTCTTCCAATAATTATGTCTTGGCAGTTTTTTTTTTTTTTTCAAAACTAACTAAAAGAAAAGAATATATTTTTTTTTTGAAACATAAAAGAAGAGAATATTTAAAGCTCGTGTTGTTTAAATTTTACTCATAAGAACCGTTTCTTACCGTATTTTTCTTATAAAAAAATCTTTTTCATCCGAATATCTTTATTTTTTAAAAAAAATATTTAAGTCAATTTTTATTCAAAATATTAAATAGTTTTGTTAATATTTAATATAAAAAAATTAATATGTCTCTTACATGTGGTCTCTTACGTTTTTAGAAATTGACATGTTGTGTGTCGTGTCGCGTGTCTTTCCTTTTTAGCCTTTTATTTTTCCTTCTTGGTTTAAGCCAATGTCCAAATTTTTTAGTTTATAACTGAAATATTAGCTCTTCAAATTCTTTGTAGAATGACTCTACTCCTCGGACCTCCAGGTTCTGGCAAGACAACTTTGCTACAAGCCCTGTCTGGGAAACTTGAATCAGAGCTAAAGGTTAAAGCTACAACTATATTGATTTAATGAATTATATAGAAAAGTCTGACCTTTCATCAATGAATTAAGGCATTCCTGTCATACAAACTAACAGTGGATTCTTGTTCTATGATAGTTTTCTGGGACAGTAACTTATAATGGCGATGAAATGAAGGAATTTGTCCCTCAGAGGACCGCTGCTTATATCAGCCAGTATGACATCCATGTTCCTTTGATGACTGTGAGGGAAACCTTAGCATTCTCCGCAAGATGTCAAGGAGTTGGCACTGGCTATGGTTTGAAACCCCTGTTTAGATTTTGAACTTGAAACAGTTTTCACAAATTTAAGTATTACATCATGAAACTGATTTCATTAATAATTTAGACATGCTTACTGAGCTTTTGAGGAGGGAAAAACAGCTGAATATCAAGCCAGACCCTTATATTGATGCGTTGATGAAGGTAAACTGAATGGATATTATCCAAACTGAACTAATACTACTTTGGCTCATAATATGATATTTTTTCATACAGGCATCAGTACTGAAGGGACAAAAGGAAGACATTGTTACAGAGTATATACTCAAGGTATGTTGTGAAACCCAATGTGTGACAACTACTATTGAATGCAACAAAAGAAAAATTTTCCTTAATTTATAACCTGTTGCCTCTCAGATATTGGGTCTGGATGTTTGTGCTGATACAATTATAGGAAATGAGATGGTAAGGGGTATTTCAGGAGGACAAAAGAAGAGAGTGACCACAGGTAGAGCATGAATGGTTAATCTAGCCTTGAAGTAGAGCAAAATCTAAGCTGAATAAATGACTGAATTTACAAAAATTGTGTTTTTAAGGCGAGATGTTGGTTGGTCCCGTCAATGCGCTTTTCATGGACAATATATCTACTGGTCTTGACAGTTCAACTACATTCCAAATTGTGAACTCCATCCGTCAATCTATTCACATTTTCAACAAGACTGCTGTGATCTCTCTTCTTCAACCTCCACCTGAAACGTTTGAGCTATTTGATGATATCATTCTTCTATCAGAAGGTCGTGTCGTGTACCAAGGTCCACGGGAATATGTTCTGGAGTTTTTTGAATCCATGGAGTTCAGATGTCCTGAGAGGAAGGGTGTAGCCGATTACCTACAGGAAGTAAGTCTACTGGTTTTCCCCATGGCTTCCATGATCTAATACTACTCAGTCTCCAAAGCTTCTTATTAACTTCTCATAACATGAGAACCTGAATCCTGATTGTTACATTTAGGTTACATCAAAAAAGGATCAGAGACAATATTGGAGCAATCATGATATACAACATCGTTATATATCTGCCGACGAGTTTGCTGAGGCTTTCAAGTCGTTTCGAATAGGCAGGGCCATACAGCACGAGCTTGCTATCCCATTTCAGAAGTCCAATAGTCACCCTGCAGCTTTAACAAGAACTAAATATGGAGCTACCAAGAAAGAACTAATGAAGGCGTGTCTGTCTAGGGAAGTTACGTTGATGAAGAGGAGTGCATCCTTGCACATTTTTAAGATGATTCAAGTTAGTTCTAAATATCTGTTTACTTTTATGTAGCCTAGTTCTCACATTTCAAACTGTGACATGAAGTTCTTTCTTTCAGCTTGAATTTTCTGCTCTAGTTGTTGCAACTGTGTTTGCTCAAGCCAGAAAGCAGCACGATAGTATTCAAGATGGAATTGTCTACTTGGGAGCTCTCTATTTTGGACTCAACACAATAACTTTTACTGGTTTTTATGAACTTCCAATGACAATTGAAAAACTCCCTGTATTTTACAAGCAAAGAGACCTCCTTTTCTATCCATCATGGGCATTCTCACTACCATCATCCATCCTTGGAATTCCCATGTCTTTTATTGAAGTAGCTCTTTGGGTTGCCACAACATATTATGTTGTTGGATTTGATCCTAGTTTCACAAGGTTGTAAGCTGATCCTAGCTTCCTGTATTTCTCAACTTCATTATCTTGGAGTCTTAAATTAACCCTTTGTTGAGTTATCTTTCCAGGTTGCTTAAACAATTTTTTGTTTACTCATTGAGTGGACAAATGTCATATGCACTATTCAGATGCATTGCAGCACTGGCCAGGAATAATGTTGTTGCAAATACAGGAGGATGCCTTGCTGTATTATGGCTTCTAATATTTGGCGGATTCATTTTATCTCATGGTATGATTCAATCTAGAAAGTGCAACGACCACATTACTTGCTGGAGCCTGTAGTCAAAATAACCAATTCTTGACTTCTTTTACTTTAGATAATATGCAGAAGTGGTTGGCTTGGGGTTACTGGACCTCACCACTGATGTATGCACAAACTGCACTCTCGACGAATGAATTTCTTAGCAATACTTGGAATCATGTAAGTATCATGTCAAAGCAGGAAAAGAGATCTTTGCAGCTTACTCTGCTTTACTATGCCGTATTACTTGTAAAATTTAACACGCTTAAATGCTAAGGATTCTGAATGTGGAGAGTAAATTTTAGGTTCGTAATGGATCAAAAGAGTCGGTGGGGATTTTGGTCCTGAAATCACGTGGGCTGTTCATTGATCCGAACTGGTATTGGATGTGTCTTGTTGCATTGGTAGGATTCATAGTCTTTTTCAACGGAATTTCTGCATTGGCTCTAGCATTTCTTAATGGTAAAACTTTCCATTCATCTAAACAATTTTCGTTCTGTATGTATCATTCTAGTTAAATTGATAGAATCCTAAAATAATTTTGTTTGATCTTTCCAGAATATGGGAAATCTCGGACAGTATTACCCTACCAAAAGGCTGAGAAGAAGGAACACCATGTCATATTAAGAGAGGAAAAGGCTCACAGATCATATGACACTGAACCAAGCTCAATCAGGACTAATACTAATAACTCATCTAAAAGTAAGCCACATTAATTGGCTTCTAAGGTTCCCGCTGGCTTAAACTTTATCTTTTCTGACATGCTCACTAGACCATTCATAGATTCCAGGGTCGACAGATATAAGAAACAAAAGATGCTTCTTCCATTCACGTCGCTCTCCCTGACGTTCGAGAATGTAAAATATTCAGTAGATATACCAAAGGTAATTATTTTGATGTAAATTAGCATGTTCTATGATTGCTTATTTACATCATAGCTTGAAGATCCAAAATAATGGAATTTGCAGGAAATGAAAGTTCAAGGTGCATCTGGGGGTCGGTTGGAACTTCTGAAGGGAGTCAGTGGGGCTTTCAGGCCTGGAGTTTTAACAGCTTTAATGGGTGTCAGTGGTGCTGGGAAAACAACACTCTTGGATGTATTGGCTGGAAGAAAAAATAGTGGTTACATTGAAGGAAGCATCAAAATCTCAGGCTTTCCTAAAAAACAGGAAACTTTTGCTCGAGTTTCTGGGTACTGTGAACAAAATGACATTCATTCACCATATGTAACCGTATATGAGTCCCTCATATATTCAGCATGGCTTCGGCTGCCTTCAGAAGTTGACTCAGAGACATTAGAGGTCTGTGGATTAATTATGTAACTGATTCTGAATTGTTAGTAAAACCTTTCTCTGAACTCTTCTTTTGACTTTAATTTCCAAAACTCATCAACTGCAGCTTTTTGTTGAAGAGATCATGGAGCTAATTGAATTAACACCATTAAGGGATTCATTGGTTGGATTTCCAAATGTGAATGGTTTATCCATTGAGCAGCGCAAAAGGTTAACCATTGCTGTTGAGCTTGTTGCTAACCCTTCAATAATATTCTTAGATGAGCCAACCTCAGGTTTAGGTGCCCGAGCAGCTGCCATCGTAATGAGAACGGTGAGAAATACAGTTGATACAGGAAGAACTGTAGTATGCACAATTCATCAGCCAAGTATTGACATATTTGAATCGTTTGATGAGGTATCAAATAAGATTAAATTGACACAATACAATAAACTTCTTAATATTTCCAATGCTATAATGAAATTTAATATATCTCCAATCTCTAATGACAGCTCTTTTTATTGGCAAGAGGAGGTGAAGAAATATATGTGGGTCCTTTGGGGCCACAGTCTTGCTTTTTAATCAAGTATTTTGAGGTTGGCCAAAGCATTATCATACTTTCTTTCCCTCGTGATACATGGTAGGAACTGTTTTCCACTGTTTCTCTCTCTTTGGTGTTAAAGGAAATCCTTGGAGTTGATAGCATAAGGGATGGATACAATCCAGCAACATGGGTTTTGGATATGACAACAGCAGCACAAGAAGAGGTTCGGGGCATTAATTTCGCTGATATATACAAGAAATCTGATCTTTATAGGTGATTCATTCAAACCGTGCTAGTAAACTCAATCAGAGAACTGTTGATCTTTATCTGCTTTAGATGATAATCTCTTGTCAATATTACTACAGAAGTAATGAAGCTCTGATTAGAGAGTTGAGCACACCTCTTCCAGATTCTCAAGCTCTTCATTTTCCCTCCAAATACCCACATTCCTTCCTGACTCAATTCAAAGCCTGCCTATGGAAACAACACAAATCATATTCCAGAAACACAGCATACAATGTCGTCCGGCTTCTGTTCAGTGCTTCAATGGGCATTATGTTTGGAACTATTTTTTGGGGGCTCGGTAGCAAGAGGTACATAAGCAAAACCGTGCGTACATACACTACTTTACTTAGATTTCCTCATACAAATATGTGATCTTTATAACTCAGGAGCACGAAGCAAGACATTTTCAATAGCATAGGTGCTATGTACATTGCAGTTAACTTCATGGGAACACAAAGTGCTCTTACAGTGCAACCTGTGATCATCACCGAACGAACAGTTTACTACAGGGAACGGGCTGCTGGAATGTATTCTGCTTTGCCTCATGCATTTGCTCAGGTATTCCTTTAATTGCAATTATGTGTTAGTGTATTGATGAATGATTAAATTTTTCATAACCCATTAGATTAAGCTTTTGGATTTTGTGATGATTTAACATTTTGATGGTAGTATCGACATATCTATCTCTTATTCTAAGCTCAACTATGCATTTCTTTAGAGCAGAGTTCATCAATTGAAAAATATCATCAAAACATCTTTGAACGAACAATTTTTTGACGCGAGAACTTATTGATACACAAGAAAGAGACACCCAGGAAAAATAAAACACGACAGTTTGATGACAGCTACCTGCATTGCTAAAAAATGAAGTGATTATATTGCAGAAAATAAAGTTGTTGGTCCTGAAGTTTCTATGAATTTGGTTGGTGATCTTTACTAATGAGACATCATCTCTTGCCTTGTATACTATTATGTCAGGTTGCAATTGAAATCCCATACACTCTGCTTCAGGCAGCCTTTTATGCGGTTATAGTCTATGCAATGATGGGATATGAATGGACAGCCACCAAGTTCTTCCTCAACTTCTTCTTCGTGTTCATCACAATTCTATACTTCATATACTATGGTTTGATGGTGATAGCAGTGAGTCCTAATCAAGCAACTGCTGCTGTACTTTCTGGGGTCTTTTACTCAGTTTGGAACCTCTTCACCGGTTTCGTCATCCCCCGAACAGTAAGGCCACGTTTTGTTTGTGATCCATTTTCATTTTTATGTTTTGAAAACAATGAATACAAGAAAAGAAAAACAATAAAAAAGTGTTTGGTGCACTTGTTTTCAAAAATATTGATCCAAAATAGCCCATTTTCGAAAACAACAAATGGCGCTTTTTTTGTTTTCTAAATTGTTTTCCCTAATCTTGAAACAGGAGATTGATATTTACTATATTATTATCACCCTTTTTTGATTCATGTTTCCCATCAAAGTTGAATTGGAACACCTTGTTGGTTGACTGCAGAGAATTTCTGTGTGGTGGAGATGGTATGCTTGGATTTGCCCAGTTTCTTGGAGTTTGTATGGAATGGTCGCTTCCCAATATGCAGATATACAAACTAAACTTGACACAGGAGAGACAGTGGCTGAGTTTATGCAGCAATATTACGGGTTTAGATACGACTTTCTGTGGGTGGTTTCAGTCGCTCTTCTTGGCTTCACTTTGCTCTTCGTCTTGGTGTTTGTTTACTCAACCAAGTCCTTGAACTTTCAGAGAAGATGAATCATAACACATGGTTGCTTTTAGCAACTACTGTTGATCCTGTGTTTTCATTACATGGAAGTGAGAATATTTATATTTGAACTTGAAAGTACTTAACTTGTCTACTTACCTTATTAATATCCTCAGGTTTGAAGTATTGAACCTCGTTTTCTACATTGTTATACCTTCCAGGGGTAGCAATTTGGTCCGATGTAACAGCAAATCTAGTACAAGCTAAAAAGATCTGTAAATATGGTATAATTTTCTCGCATGTCTATTAGTGATAGACGTCTATCAATGATAACGTCCGCCCTACAAATATGAGAGGTTGGGTGTGCGTGTCACCCAATCTGTTAATCGTTTGCTTTGGAAAAGCGGCCGCCCGCCAACGAAGAGAGACAGAAGCTGTTAATTTGTGCTGTTGCTTCATCTTCCTTTTCTTCTCCTCCATGTATGGCTGCTTTTCCTTGTGCCACCCAAGCTTCTCCCTACAGTATCAGAAAATTCCAGAACTCGCCGACCCATTTGGCGAAGTCGAACGAACATGCTGGAAACAATCGAATCTCCTATAAATCTTGTTTGAATAGGATATCTTCTCTCTGCAAAGAAGGCGACCTTCGAGTAGCTGTGGACTTGGTTGCTGATATGGAGCTAGAAAATATCTCAATTGGACCTGATGTATATGGAGAACTCCTTCAGGGCTGCGTTTACGAGAGAGCTCTTTCGTTGGGTCAGCAAATCCACGGTCGGATTCTCAAGAGTGGTGAATTCATTGCAAAGAATGAGTACATTGAAACCAAATTGGTGATTTTCTATTCAAAATGTGACGAGTCAGAGATTGCCAACCGGTTGTTTCGCAATCTTCGGCTACGGAACGAATTTTCTTGGGCTGCCATTATGGGATTAAAATGTAGAATCGGTTATAACGAAGAAGCTTTACTGTGTTTCTGTGAGATGCACGAAAACGGGCTGCTCCTGGACAATTTTGTTATTCCAATTGCGTTGAAGGCTTCTGGTGCTCTGCAGTGGATTGGGTTTGGCAAAGCAGTCCATGGCTATGCAGTGAAGATGGATCTAGGCAAGTGTATCTATGTTGCTAGTAGTCTTCTGGATATGTATGGTAAATGTGGGTTATGTGGAGATGCAAAGAAGGTGTTTGATAAAATTCCTGAGAAGAACATAGTAGCTTGGAATTCAATGATAGTTAATTTTACCCAGAATGGACTGAATGAGGAAGCAATTGAGACGTTTTATGACATGAGGGTGAAAGGCGTCGAACCTACTCAAGTGACTCTATCAAGCTTTCTTTCAGCTTCAGCTAATTTGAGCGTGATCGATGAGGGTAAACAAGGGCATGCCTTAGCAGTCTTATCTGGACTGGAATTAACTAACATATTGGGTAGTTCACTCATAAATTTTTATTCCAAAGTTGGTTTGGTTGAGGATGCTGAGTTAGTTTTTAGTGAAATGTTGGAGAAAGATGTAGTGACATGGAATTTGCTTGTCTCTGGTTATGTGCATAATGGGCTGGTTGATCAGGCGCTTCATTTATGCCGCCTAATGCAATCAGAAAATTTGAGGTTTGATTCTGTGACTCTTGCTTCAATAATGGCTACTGCTGCTGACTCAAGAAATTTTAAACTAGGGAAGGAAGGGCATTGTTTTTGTGTTAGAAATAACCTTGAGTCTTATGTTGCTGTTGCAAGTAGCATAATAGATATGTATGCCAAATGTGGAAAATTAGAATGTGCAAGACGAGTTTTTGACTCAACTATAAAGAGAGATCTTATAATGTGGAATACACTGTTATCTGCTTATGCAGAGCAGGGTCAGTGTGGTGAAACGTTAAAATTGTTTTATCAGATGCAGTTAGAAGGTCTGCCACCAAATGTGATATCCTGGAACTCTGTGATTTTGAGTTTTCTGAATAAAGGTGAAGTTAATAAGGCTAAAGACATGTTCTTGGAGATGCAGTCTCTTGGTGTCTTTCCTAATCTAATTACTTGGACCACTCTCATCTCTGGACTCGCTAAGAGCGGTATTGGCAATGAAGCATTCCTCATATTCCTGCAAATGCAAGAAGCCAGTATTAAACCCAACAGTTTGAGTATGAGTTCGCTACTTTCAGCTTGCACAACTATGGCATCTCTGCGACATGGAAGAGCTATTCATTGTTACATCATAAGACATGAACTTTCACTATCAACACCGGTCCTCTGCTCCTTAGTGATCATGTATGCTAAATGTGGTAATATAAATCAAGCTAAGAGGGTGTTTGATATGATATCGAAAAAGGAGTTGCCCATCTATAATGCAATGATCTCTGGCTATGCATTACATGGTCAAGCAGTGGAAGCTCTTTCACTCTTTAAACGTCTAAAAGAGGAAAATGTAGAACCAGATGAAATAACCTTTACTAGTATCCTTTCTGCATGCAGTCATGCTGGACTTGTGACGGAAGGTTTAGAGCTTTTCATTGATATGGTTTCTAATCACAAAATAGTACCCCATGCAGAGCATTATGGTTGTCTTGTTAGTATTCTTTCTAGGTGTCATAACTTGGACGAAGCTTTAAGACTTATTCTAGCGATGCCTTTTGAGCCAGATGCATTTATATTTGGATCTTTACTTGCTGCATGCAGAGAGCATCCTGACTTTGAACTGAAAGAACGTTTGTTCGAACACTTGTCAAAATTGGAGCCAGATAATTCAGGAAACTATGTAGCGTAATCAAATGCATATGCTGCCACTGGAATGTGGAATGAGGCATCAAAAGTGAGGGATCTGATGAAAGAAAGGGGCCTAAGTAAGACTCCCGGGCGTAGCTGGATTCAGATTGGAAACGAAACACATGTATTTTTCGCTGGCGATAAATCACACTCCAAGACCAAGGAAATTTACAGGATGTTGTCACTCTTGAGAATGGAAATGCAATTCACAAGATGTATACCTGTGATCAATTAAGCTGCTATCTTCAATTACCATTCTTCAGGATGGGGCTGTCATATCTGTACCGGTTGATGCATGTGCTTTTTGCATAAGACAAACAGAGAAAATGGTGATGGTTTAAATGATTAATGTTGAGGCCTCACGAACTTGAAAACAGCTACAAGGTATCATTTACCATGACTTGCAGCAAATCTTGGATGACCTGTGACATGGCTTGGAAAATGATACTATGAACATTGAATTCTCTGAAATATCGAGTGATGTTTGAACTGCAATTCCTTTCGAATGGCTAGAAATGCTACCCAGTTCAGGAATTTCACTAGTATTATAAGACTATTGCACTGGAGCAGCTCTTCCTGTTCCGAGTGATTTGGGACCTTTTGGTCTATGTTTTTTGCTATGACGGAAATCAAGGAATAACAAGAATAGAAGATAGACCAATTGCACATTTGAGTTCATCTTCAACTAAATTTGAGCGGATTAGCTACTATGGAATTCATAAATATCACAAGATGCAAATACTCAATGAATCCACCTGTCATTGTCAATAATGACACGCAATGCAGAGAACCAGTGGTGTGAAATTGTGCTGGATTGGGTAAGAAAGCTGTACGAGTTCCTCTGATGCCAAACTCAGGTTTTTTTTGTCTCTTTTGTAAAACCTGTAGATGACTTTGATTTATCTTTTGTTGTATATCATTCAGATCCTTTTGCCAATTGAACTGTCCACTAGAAACACATCACATTAGCTTGGTCTCTACTATGAATATACCTAAGCATATGAAATGAAATGTCCGTAACTTACTTTCTGCCTAACTTCTATTAGGTGCAAGATTATTGTGGGCTAGATTTACACATCAAAATTTTCAAATAAATTTGCCTAAAATGCTCGTCATTTTTTCTGTTTAAATAATGAAGATTGCTAACGTTTATACATCATGCACAATACCGGATGCTGTTATCTTCCTAAAGCAGCCAAGATGATGCACCCCCACGGGACTTGATTCATGGTGTTTGAGAAGTGAGACTAATGCGACAAAATTTTGGTTCCAGTCGGAACAGGTTACAGGAACTGAACTGGCACTAGGTAAGGATCTTTCAGTACAAAAAGTCAATGTTATTGCCCTTGTCAGGTTAGTACCTGTGAACATTTGTTATTTGTTGCTTATTTTCTTGTTCCCTATTCAATTACTCCAAGTCAGTTTGCTACACTCAGTTCTAGGAACTGCCAAGTTTTGATATCAGTATCATTCAGTGCATGACATCTGTAAAATCTCAAATGGCCTATTCTTTTTCATTCTCTCTCCCTCCTTTACTGAACTTTGATATTTACAAATCTTTATGATGAGCGTAAACACAGAGATGCTCTTTAGCTTTGTTGTAATTATCTTTACTTCAATTTATTACATAAGGTTGAAGATGTGGTCCTGGAACGTGTTTTGTTTACCTGTTTTGGACTCGTATCTTTTATTACATGCATTCTTCCAAGTCTTTTAGTGAAGTATCCTATGCTACTAACGAGTAACGGCCTAATAAAACTTGCCCTTTTCTTCTTTTTTGGGTGATTCGTGCTATCCAAGGAAAGTGAAATGATGAAGAAACGACTTCTTGTTGCATTTTGTTCAGTGGACATCAACGAGTAATTATTATGCACACATTATTTTGTTTGACAGCAGAGACTTGGAGACCGTGCTGCTTTAGAGAAAGACATTCCTTGCTTTTGTTGGTATGTCCTCTCTCTCTCTCTCTCTCTCTCTCTCTCTTCTGTATTTAGATAGCCTTGCTTTCACTGAAGTAGTAACTCTATGGGATTCTTTCATCCTGTGCTCCATCCACATGGCTTTGAATTCATTGCAAAGTTAAAGTGACTCTCACATTGGTGCTTTGTAAAACCTTTACTTCAACAGAATTAAGAGTTAAAGATATGCTCTAAAGTCTAAATTCTCAGAGGTTGAATAGCCATTTATTTACTGTTTTTTCAATACAAACACAGTGGGGTTTCGAACTTACGGAGGAGATAGATGCTTTAATCCATTGGGCTATACTAAGATCGGTAACCATTTATTTACTGTTAATTTTTAATCAGTGAATTCCTAAGAAATCATGTTAGGAAAAATAATAAAGGATTGTACAAGTTAACATACATTAACAGGAACTTATCTTGTTTAATCAAATGATTAGATCATGAATTAATTAAGCTAACTGATCAGAAACAATA